TGTGGTACTTGGAAAGATTCAATGGAAGGAATGGGGAAAGTAGACGAAGAGGAAGAGGATAAGGAGTCAGATTCTGAATCTGTATTTAGCAAATTTGATACCTTTGCTACTTGAGAAGTGCACTCTGGTAGATGTTGGTCTGAATCAGCTTTTGGATTCTGTTGTTGATCTTTGCTTAAATCCCTCAGAAAAGATTCCAAGGGGTTTGAGATCATCATCTGCTGATCAGAACTCTTTTCAGGGTCTCCAGAGGGCTCAGCAACAGGTTTTTCTTTCATTCTTTCCTTTCGGAGCTTCTCCATTTCCCGAATGCGATTGCGCATTTCTGTCATATCACTTCTGTCTCGTTGAGTAGAAGTTTCGGCTGCAAGAGCAGCTGCAGCAAAAACTGGAGAGCTTTGCGGTGGTGGAAGAGAGTATCCGATTCTTGGAATAGAGAAAAAATCAGTAGGCTTAAATTTTCCTTCTTCAAGGAGACTGATTTGCCTTCTGAGTTTCTCTATTTCATTCTTCGGACTTTCAAGATAATGGTAGCCAAGATGCTGGCCTGATTCCAGAGCATGAAGTCTTTTTTGGAAATCCACAAGCATTTTTTTGATGGACTCGTCGTACCTTCGGATGTCTTGTTGCACATCAATAATTTTGGAGTCAAGTGTTTTGAAAGCCTGATTTTGTGCCAGGAGAGTTTCCGACTGCCAGTTTAGAACAGCCTCAGCAGCAGGCGTTCTTTTTGGCCTTCCACGTTCATCAACATCAGTGGGAGAAGGAATTTTTGGAGCATGAAGGTATCGTCGTTGTGGATCGGTAAATTCTTCAGTAGCAGGAAAAGAAAGCTGAGAACTTTCAGCAGGATTTAGAGGAGGGAAATCAGCTTCATTGAACATGGAGATAGATGGAAGTTGCCCGGTGGTTGGGTTTTCAGGAAAGACTGGAATTTTAAGTGGATAAGAATTTTTCTTTACCCACTTATAGATGGGTTTGTAGAAAGGGGAAACGACAGATTTTTTATATGGGGGTGAAGCTGGAGGTGATGGTGGAGATGATGAAAATGATGGAGGTGATAAAGTTGATGAAGGTGATGGTGGTCCGTATGATACCATAAACTGGTATCCACTATCTTCTCCAAGAGTATCAATGGTAGGGTCTCCATCCAAATATCTTTGGTAGAAGCTGTCATTGGCCTTCCTAGCTTTTCGCTTAGGCCTGGTAGCTGGATCTACTTCATCTGGGGAGTTTGTGCATGAAGAACACTAGCAAAAAGGATCCCAGAAGCAATGTCCATAAGGGTCTTTGTAGTGATGGACAGGATGTCCGTCACTTTTGAAGTATTGGACCAGCTTTTTTGGGTCTGGTTCCTCAGGAACTGGATTAGGAACACAGGGTTCTATCATAAAGATAGTAGGAAAGATGGAAGGAGTTTCTTCCTTCTCTTTGCGGAATTTGATGGTTACAGTACCATCTCTTTGTCTGACAAATTCAGAGTCTGAAGGCTGGAGAGGTTGGCTAATTTGGTGGAGCTTTTCATAATTTGTTATCCAAGATTCAGGAAGAAGCTTGGCTAACTTTTCTTTTGGGATCTGCCGAGGAACATGAATGCAAGACGCCTGATCATTTTGCATGGAGATGAACAATGCATCTTCATTTCCATGTTGGAAATTCAGATCTAGAGCATGATTTTGGACTCTATACACCATTTGGTAACGAAGAGTTGCAGCAATAGAATCGGCAGTTTGAGGAGCTCCAGTAAGCTGAAGTTGCACTTTCAAGAAAGAAAGTAGCTGGGGATCGGAAAGGGCAATATTAAAATTTGGATAAAGGGTTACAAAGACTGTTCCAGCATTTAAAGTAGTTTGGACAGTACCAATACAAGCATGCTAGTATTCTAGGAACCTGGTATCCAAAAGAGCCATTCTTGCTACGACAGGCAAACCTTTTCTCCCATGAAAGGTAAGAGCAAGACGGACTGCGCCATAGTGAATATGTGAATACCCTTGTTGGATCCACTGTTTGGGAAATTCAGGAGGAATTTGAAGAGTAACAAAGTACTCCTTTTCAGAGGCAGGAATAGGGTGCTGGTCAAATTTGGAAGACTGGACGTATTCCTTGACCTCTTTCGGGGTTTGACGGATGAGATGTCGTATTGACCTGATGGGGGAAAAAGATGTAGCGGGTTTAGCAAAGGCTGAGTATGGATTCATGAGAGGAAGTTGTGTTTCAGAAATCTTGGTCTCATCACTAAGAGAGACTTCATAAAGATAATCTATCTTAGAAGCATGTGAAGTACGAAACTCAGTTAAAGATGAAGAAGAAGACGATGGAGTGAGAGAAGCAGTACGAGCGATTGGAGTTGTATCTGGATCGGTCATGATGAAGAGAAAGGATTCTTCGCAGCACTGAACAATCACCAACTAAGCGCATGGAACGAACCAAGCTAGGCATAAAACCACGCTCTGATACCAATGAGGGGATCTAACCGGTCAAAAGCTCTTTCTACTTTTTGAGAACCAAAGAGGCACTAAGTGCTAACTGCTGAGTGATCATTGCTGCTTGTGGACATCATCTTTCATCCAAATGAAAGATAAAGAAATTATATGATATTATCTTTCGAAATTATTTATTACAATAGATAAAGGAAAAAGTGAGCTCGAATTGAAAAGATTGTGAGGGCCTACCGTGTTACGAGCACATGTATGTCCGAGCTTTTACGGTCCCTCAACATCCATGCATGCATCATTTTCCTAATGTATAAGAAAAAGCATATTAGAAGGTCCTTTTATTTATTCTAATAAAAAAACCAAAAAGTTCATCTAATGATTACAGCACAAAATATTCTCGTCCCGACACGTGGATAATAAAACAAGTTGAATATCAACATGCTTATTGACATATAGATTGAAAAATGTTCTTGCTCTAATGCCATTTCGTGGACAGGCACAATTATGGCCCATTGATTTTATTTTATTTTTGTCAATAGCCCATTGATTTTGACGAGAGAGAGAGAGAGAAAAAGGAAGGGATTAATTAAGTGGATACGAGTAGTCATGGTCACTGGCCGGTTTTGGCCTGGAACCGGTCCGATCAAACCCGGACTTGGCCCGTTGACCGAGCCTGCGGTTCGGAACAGGAACCGGCCCGTGGCCTACGGGCCCGGTTCCGATTCCAACAATTTTGGAACCGGCCCGGAACCCGGTTCCAAATTATTTTAAAAAAATAATAATAATGAAATTTAAAAACAAAATTCATTATTTAATTTTTTTTTATAAAACAATTTGAACTCTAATTGCCATGCATTGTAAGTGCATTGATCTCTAATTACAATGCTTGGCTTGGGTGTATTGAACTTTAATTACAAGGCTTGGCCCCTTGAATACCTTAATGTGAGACTTTTGGCTTGCCTTGAATACCTTCAATGTGAGACTCTTGGCTTATCTTCATACAAAGGCCAAGAGTCCCACATCGAATGAGAATGAAGAGACCATCAAAGGGGTTGTGTATAAAACCCAAGCCAAGCCATGAGCATGTGAAGTTGTATGCCTTTTGTGGCTATGATCCTTTGCTAGTTAAGAGCAAAGGGTTCCATTGGACCGCCTAGAACCGGACCGGGCCAATGATCCGGTTCGCGGTTCTATGATTTGCCGGTCCGGTTCCTAGTTCTAAAATTAAGGGACCGGTCTTACCGGTTCGGTTCCCGGTTCCGAGCGGAACCGGACCGAACCGGGAACCAATCACCCTTACAATTTACATTTTGATTACAATTTATAGTGAATAATTCATTATTTCATAATTTTATAATTCATAATTTTTTTATTTCATAATTTATTTTTAAAATTTTTAAATTACGAACCGGAACCGGCCGGTTTCGAACCGGAACCGCCCGGAACCGGCCGGTTCCGGTTCGCGGCCATGCCTAGATACGAGGCATCCCATTCGAGAGAGAGAGAGAGAGAGAGAGAGAGAGAGAGAGAGAGAGAGAGAGAGAGAGAGAGAGAGAGAGAGAGAAGAATGTTATTCTTAACTTGACATTGCTCTCTGGCTCTCCAATGGGATTCTTGATGTTGCAACGTTCCTTTTTGTATCTCTCTTTCTCTTGAATGGGATGACTCGTCCCTTCTCTTTTCTCTCCCTCAGTAATGCTCGTGCCGTAATGAATACCTTTCATTCTTGTGCTCAAACCAATTAAAAGCTCCTTCTATTTTTTTAGAACCAAAAAAGGCACTAGGTGCTAACTGCTGAGTGATCATTGCTGCGTGTGGACAACATCTTTCATCCAAATGGCGCAAATGATGAATCAGCACCCCTGGCCAGCCAGCTCAGTTTCCTTAAGAACTTTCTGATGGTACTCCCATAATTTCACCCGAAGCCGGTCCCCTAAATATCTCGGAGTTGACACCATCTTTCATCCAAATGGCGCAAATGACAACTCAGCACCCCTGGCCAGCCAGCTCAGTTTCCTTCAAAACTTTTTGATGGTACTCCCTTAATTTCACCCGAAGTCGGTCCCCTAAATATCTCAGAGTTGGCACACTTGTCGTTATCGATATTTTGTACTATAAATTTCTGCTCAAAAACGAAATCCTCATCACCATCCATCAAGCGCTCCTCCCAGCACAGACCAAAATTCCTTTGCCTTTCAGCACAATGAATCCCACCTCTCTCTTCCACCTCCTCCTCCTTCTCTTGCTTTCCACCGCTACAGCCTTCACCCCTAAGGCCAACACTTCCGGATCAGTTTTAGACTACTGGAACCAGAAAATAAATAATACCCTCCCGAAGCCGCTGGTGCTTTTCTCACAAGCATCACCCATGTCCTCCGATACGACGGCCATCTTTGCCCAGTTCATGAGAGAAGGTAGCATCTCCGACCACCTCCTTTCATTTTGCAAGGAGGCGCAAATGGCATGCTTCTTAAGCTTATCGTCGGATGCGACGGACTCCTTCATGATCAACTATGCCGATATTGCAACGGACTCTTTCATTATCAATTATGCCAATATTGCAACGGACTCCTTCATGATCAGTTATGCCGATAGTGCGACAGGCACCCATTTGGATTCTGGCAAGGAGCCTGGCAAATTCTTCCGAGAGTCAACGTTGAAAAGTGAGAATGTGATGCCGATGCCTGACGTCACCAATAAAATGCCTAAAAGATCATTTTTACCTCGGAGAATCTCCTTGAAATTACAATTTTCGACCCTGAAGCTCCCTCAACTAAATCAAATCTTCCGTGCGAAAGAGAATTCCCCTATGGGGAAGATCTTGGCACGCACAATAGCCCAGTGCGAGAGCGCCGCAATATATGGTGAAAAGAAGAGTTGTGTGTCCTCCATCAAGGACACGATTGACTTTGCCACCGCGATTTTGGGTCATGATGTCATGGTCCTGTCCACGACAAGTACTGGAGGATCGAAGCAGCAGGTCATGGTGGGGCAAGTGAAGAGGATGGAGTCCAGCGATACGAGAAAATCGGTAGTGTGTCACCAAATTCTGTTTCCCTCGGTAATCTATTACTGTCACTCGTTTTTGGATGTAGAGATTTATGAGATAAACATGCTCGATCGCAACTCAGAGGTGCAAATCAATCGGGATGTGGTAATTTGCCACTTCAACACGTCCGCATGGAGTCCAAATCATCCTGCATTTCTGGATCTGAGGTCGAGTCCTGGCCAGACCGAAGCATGCCACTGGGCTTACGAGAACAATCTGGTTTCGATAGCGATTTAGTACGTATCCAATCTGGTGTACAAATCTATATATTTGGATTTGACGTGTGAAAGTATTTTTTTTTCTCAAGTTGACGTGTGAAAGTTGTTAAAGGTCAGTTGCACTAACTTTCTGCCATTTGACAACTGCAAGGTGGATGGGGACAGCTGCCGAAGGTGTTGGAGATCTAAGTGTTGAAGGAGTTTGAGTTCTGAGTGTTGAAGGCGTTTGAGTTCTTTATGTGGATGTTAGCTACTAGTGGGAATCTTGTCCCATAAGATGCTGTTGAGAAATCAGCCGTTGAAGTGTATTATGAGTTCGCATGTGTGAGGTTTTTACTCTTTTTCTTAGTATTTGATGGGCGAGATATTTTGTTTCGTGTAACCTAATCGTGGGTGTGACCGTCGGATTTAATAAAAAAGTATGTTCGACTCTAGAATTAGTTAATGTTGTGGGCAACTCTACAAAGTGCCAAAGGGAGAATCGGAACCTTAATCCTTGGAATGATGGAGCACTGATGCTATTTGGTTGATCAAGAGCTTAAACAAAAGTGCTTCACCATCGCCGACCTTGACAAGGATTGGATGGGATTAGTTAAATCCCATTCGGCAAAGACCCTATGATATTTATTGTCCCCATAAGCTATTGAGAGGCATGGACAAGTCCAGATGCAAGCGCTGAGAAAAACGAAGCTATGCGCGTCCTCTCGAGTTCTGAGATACAAAGAGTAGCATAACAGATCTTTAATCAAAGCCAGATTCAATGAATCATAGATTAACAAGTCTTATGACTCTCCTCCAAGTGGCTAAAATGCAATATCATAGCAAATTTCTCCAAACAACATAACAATAATTTGAAAATAGCAATCAACCAAGACTGATAAATATCAGAGGGTCTTTGCCGAATGGGATTTAACTAATCCCATCCAATCCTTGTCAAGGTCGGCGATGGTGAAGCACTTTTGTTTAAGCTCTTGATCAACCAAATAGCATCAGTGCTCCATCATTTCAAGGATTAAGGTTCCGATTCTCCCTTTGGCACTTTGTAGAGTTGCCCACAACATTAACTAATTCTAGAGTCGAACATGCTTTTTTATTAAATCTGACGGTCACACCCACGATTAGGTTACACGAAACAAAATGTCTCGCCCATCAAATACTAAGAAAAAGAGTAAAAACCTCACACATGCGAACTCATAACACACTTCAATGGCTGATTTCTCAACAGCATCTTATGGGACAGGATTCCTACTAGTAGCTAACATCCACATAAAGAAGTCAAACGCCTTCAACACTCAGAACTCAAACTCCTTCAACACTCAGATCTCCAACACCTTCGGCAGCTGTCCCCATCCACCTTGCAGTTGTCAAATGGTAGAAAGTTAGTGCAACTGACCTTTAACAACTTTCACACGTCAAACCCAAATATATAGATTTGTACACCAGATTGGATACATACTAAATCGCTATCCAAACCAGATTGTTCTCGTAAGCCCAGTGGCATGCTTCGGTCTGGCCAGGACTCGACTTCAGATCCAGAAATGCAGGATGATTTGGGCTCCATGCGAACGTGTTGAAGTGGCAAATTGCCACAGCCCGATTGATTTGCACCTCTGAGTTGCAATCGAGTATGTTTACCTCATAAATCTTTACATCAAAAAACGAGTGACAGTAATAGATTACCGAGGGAAATAGAATTTGGTGACACACTACCGATTTTCTCGTATCGCTGGACTCCATCCTCTTCACTTGCCCCACCATGACCTGCTGCTTCGATCCTCCAATACTTGTCATGGACAGAACCATGACATCATGACCCAAAATCGCGGTGGCAAAGTCAATCGTGTCCTCGATGGAGGACACGCAACTCTTCTTTTCACCATATATTGCGGCGCTCTCGCACTGGGCTACAGTGCGTGCCAAGATCTTCCCCATAGGGGAATTCTCTTTGGCACGGACGATTTGATTTAGTTAAGGGAGCTTCAGGGTCGAAAATGGTAATTTCAAGGAGATTCTCCGAGGTAAAAATGATCTTTTAGGAATTTTATTGGTGACGTCAGGCATCAGCATCACATTCTCACTTTTCAGCGTTGACTCTCGGAAGAATTTGCCAGGCTCCTTGCCAGAATCCAAATGGGTGCATGTCGCACTATCGGCATAACTGATCATGAAAGAGTCCGTCGCACTATCGACATAATAATTGATCATGAAAGAGTCCGTTGCAATATCGGCATAATTGATCATGAAAGAGTCCGTTGAAATATCAGCATAGTTGATCGTGAAGGAGTCCGTCGCATCCGACGATGAGCTTAAGAAGCATGCCATTTGCGCCTCCTTGCAAAATGAAAGGAGGTGGTTGGAGATGCTACCTTCTCCCATGAACTGGGCAAAGATGGCCGTCGTATCGGAGGACATGGGTGATGCTTGCGAGAAAAGTACCAACGGCTTCGAGAGGGTATTATTTATTTTCTGGTTCCAGTAGTCTAAAACTGATCCGGAAGTGTTGGCCTTAGGGGTGAAGGCTGTAGCGGTGGAAAGTAAGAGAAGGAGGAGGAGGTGGAAGAGAGAGGTGGGATTCATTGTGCTGAAAGGCAAAGGAATTTTGGTCTGTGCTGGGAGGAGGGCTTGATGGATGGTGATGAGGATTTGGTTTTTGAGCAGAAATTTATAGTACAAAATATCGATAACGACAAGTGTGCCAACTTTGAGATATTTAGGGGACCGACTACTGGTGAAATTAAGGGAGTACCATCAGAAAATTTTTAAGGAAACTGAGCTGGCTGGCCAGGGGTGCTGAGTCGTCATTTGCGCCATTTGGATGAAAGATGGTATCAACTCCGAGATATTTAGGGGACCGGCCGGGTGAAATTAGGGGAGTACCATCGAAAGTTCTTAAGGAAGCGAGCATTTGGGCTAGGGGTGCTGATTCATCATTTGCGCCATTTGGATGAAAGATGTTGTCCACACGCAGCAATGATCACTCAGCAGTTAGCACCCTAGTGCCTTTTTTTGTTCTCAAAAAGTAGAAGGAGCTTTTGATTGGTTTGAGCACAAGAATGAAAGGTATTCATTACGGCATGAGCATTACTGAGAGAGAGAAAAGGGAAGGGACGAGCCATCCATTCAAGAGCAAGAGAGATACAAAAAGGAATGTTGCAACATCAAGAATCCCATTGGAGAGCCAGAGAGCAATGTCAAGTCAAGAATAACATTCCTCTCTCTCTCTCTCTCTCTCTCTCTCTCTCTCTCTCTCTCTCTCTCTCTCTCTCTCTAATGGGATGCCTCGTATCTAGGCATGGCCACGAATCGGAATCGGCCGGTTCCGGTTCGTAATTTAAATTTTTTTAAAATAAATTATGAAATAAAAAAATAATGAATTATAAAATTATGAAATAATGAATTCTTCAATATAAATTGTAATTAAAATGTAAATTGTAGGGGTGATTGGTTCCCGGTTCGGTCCGGTTCCGCTCGGAACCGGGAACCGAACCGGTAAGACCGGTCCCTTAATTTTAGAACTAGGAACCGGACAGGCAAATCATAGAACCGGGAACCAGACCATTGGCTCGGTCCGATTCTAGGCAATGTCAAGATTTTGTATTTTTTTATTTATTTCCACGTCAGTGACAAGTGTCGGTTCGTGATTGGTGAACAGTACATATGTGCTTGCAACGTCAACATCTGACGCGTTGCTATGCATGCACTGAATATTTTCTCCTTGACTTGACATTGCTCTCTCGTTCTTGAATGGGATTCTTGATGTTGCAACATTCCTTTTTGTATCTCTCTTGCTCTTGAATGAGATAGCTCGTCCCTTCCCTTTTCTCTCTCTCAATAATGCTCGTACCGTAATGAATACCTTTCGTTCCTGTGCTCAAACCGGTCAAAAGCTCTTTCTAGTTTTTGAGAACCAAAAAAGGCACTACGTGCTAACTACTGAGTGATCATTGCTACTTGTGGACAACATCTTTCATCCAAATGAAAGATAAAGAAATTATATTATATTATCTTTCGAAATTATTTATTACAATAGATAAAGGAAAAAGTGAGCTCGAATTGAAAAGATTGTGAGGGCCTACCGTGTTACGCGCACATATATGTCCGGGCTTTTACGGTCCCTCAACATCCATGCATGCATCATTTTCCTAATGTATAAGAAAAAGCATATTAGAAGGTCCTTTTATTTATTCTAATAAAAAAACCAAAAAGTTCATCTAATAATTACAACACAAAATATTCTCGTCCCGACACGTGGATAATAAAACAAGTTGAATATCAACATGCTTATTGACATATAGATTGAAAAATGTTCTTGCTCTAATGCCATTTCGTGGACAGGCACAATTACGGCCCATTGATTTTATTTTATTTTTGTCGATAGCCCATTGATTTTGACTTGAGAGAGAGAAAAGGGAAGGGATTAATTATGGTGGATACGAGGCATCCCATTCGAGAGAGAGAGAGAGAGAAAGGAATGTTATTCTTGACTTGACATTGCTCTCTGGCTCTCCAATGGGATTCTTGATGTTGCAACATTCCTTTTTGTATCTCTCTTGCTCTTGAATGGGATGGCTCATCCCTTCCCTTTTCTCTCTCTCAATAATACTCGTGCCGTAATGAATACCTTTCATTCCTGTGCTCAAACCAATCAAAAGCTCCTTCTACTTTTTTAGAACCAAAAAAGGCACTAGGTGCTAACTGCTGAGTGATCATTGCTGCGTGTGGACAACATCTTTCATCCAAATGGCGCAAATGATGAATCAACACCCCTGGCCAGCCAGCTCAGTTCCTTAAGAACTTTCTGATGGTACTCCCCTAATTTCACCCGAAGCCGGTCCCCTAAATATCTCGGAGTTGACACCATCTTTCATCCAAATGGCACAAATGACGACTCAGCACCCCTGGCTAGCCAGCTTAGTTTTCTTAAAAACTTTCTGATGGTACTCCCTTAATTTCACCCGAAGTCGATCCCCTAAATATCTCAGAGTTGGCACACTTGTCGTTATCGATATTTTGTATTATAAATTTCTGCTCAAAGACCAAATCCTCATCACCATCCATCAAGCCCTTCTCCCAGCACAGACCAAAATTTCTTTGCCTTTCAGCACAATGAATCCCACCTCTCTCTTCCACCTCCTCCTCCTTCTCTTACTTTCCACCGCTACAGCCTTCACCCCTAAGGCCAACACTTCCGGATCAGTTTTAGACTACCGGAACCAGAAAATAAATAATACCCTCCCGAAGCCGCTGGTGCTTTTCTCGCAAGCATCACCCATGTCCTCCGATACGGTGGCCATCTTTGCCCAGTTCATGGGAGAAGGTAGCATCTCCGACCACCTCCTTTCATTTTGCAAGGAGGCGCAAATGGCATGCTTCTTAAGCTCATCGTCGGATGCGACGAACTCCTTCATGATCAATTATACCGATATTGCAACGGACTCTTTCATGATCAATTATGTCGATATTGCAACGGACTCTTTCATGATCAATTATCATGTCGATAGTGCGACGGACTCCTTCATGATCGGTTATGCCAATAGTGCAACAGGCTCCCATTTGGATTCTGGCAAGGAGCCTAGCAAATTCTTACGAGAGCCAACGCTGAAAAGTGAGAATGTGATGCCGATACCTGACATCACCAATAAAATGCCTAAAAGATCATTTTTACCTCGGAGAATCTCCTCGAAATTACCATTTTCGACCCTGAAGCTCCCTCAACTAAATCAAATCTTCCGTGCGAAAGAGAATTCCCCTATGGGGAAGATCTTGGCACGCACAATAGCCCTGTGCGAAAGCGCCGTAATATATGGTGAAAAGAAGAGTTGCGTGTCCTCCATCGAAGACACGATTGACTTTGCCACCGCGATTTTGGGTCATGATGTCATGGTCCTGTCCACGACAAGTACTGGAGGATCGAAGCAACAGGTCATGGTGGGGCATGTGAAGAGGATGGAGTCCAGCGATACGAGAAAATCGGTAGTGTGTCACCAAATTCTGTTTCCCTCGCAACTCAGAGGTGCAAATCAATCGGTTTTCTCGTAATAGATTACCGAGGGAAACAGAATTTGGTGACACGCTACCGATTTTCTCGTATCGCTGGACTCCATCCTCTTCGCTTGCCCCATCATGACCTGCTGCTTCGATCCTCCAGTACTTGTCGTGGACAGGACCATGACATCATGACCCAAAATCGCGGTGGCAAAGTCAATCGTGTCCTCGATGGAGGACACACAACTCTTCTTTTCACCATACATTGCGGCGCTCTCGCACTGGGCTATTGTGCGTGCCAAGATCTTCCCCATAGGGGAATTCTCTTTCGCACGGAAGATTTGATTTAGTTGAGGGAGCTTCAGGGTCGAAAATTGTAATTTCAAGGAGATTCTCCGAGGTAAAAATGATCTTTTAGGCATTTTATTGGTGATGTCAGGCATTGGCATCACATTCTCACTTTTTAGAGCTGACTCTCGAAAGAATTTGCCAGGCTCCTTGCCATAATCCAAATGGAAGCCTATCGCACTATCGGCAGAACTGATCATGAAAGAGTCCGTCACACTATCGACATGATAATTGATCATGAAAGAGTCCGTTGCAATATCGGCATAATTGATCATGAAAGAGTCCGTTGCAATATCGGCATAATTGATCATGAAGGAGTCCGTCGCATCCGACGATGAGCTTAGGAAGCATCCCATTTGCGCCTCCTTGCAAAATGAAAGGAGGTGGTCAGAGATGCTACCTTCTCCAATGAACTGGGCAAAGATGGCCGCCGTATCAAAGGACATGGGTGATGCTTGCGAGAAAAGCACCAGCGGCTTCGGGAGGGTATTATTTATTTTCTAGTTCCGGTAATCTAAAACTGATCATGAAGTGTTGGCCTTATGGGTGAAGGCTGTAGCGGTGGAAAGCAAGAGAAGGAGGAGGAGGTGGAAGAGAGAGGTGGGATTCATTGTGCTGAAAGGCAAAGGAATTTTGGTCTGTGCTGGGAGGAGGGCTTGATGGATGGTGATGAGTATTTGGTTTTTGAGCAGAAATTTATAGTACAAAATATCAATAACGACAAGTGTGCCAACTCTGAGATATTTAGGGGACCGACTTCGGGTGAAATTAAGGGAGTACCATCAGAAAGTTTTTAAGAAAACTAAGCTGGCTGGCCAGGGGTACTGAGTCGTCATTTGCGCCATTTGGATGAAAGATGGTGTCAACTCCGAGATATTTAGGGGACCGGCTTCGGGTGAAATTATGGAAGTACCATCAGAAAGTTCTTAAGGAAATTGAGCTGGCTGGCCAGGGGTGCTGATTCATCATTTGCGCCATTTGGATGAAAGATGTTGTCCACACGCAGCAATGATCACTCAGCAGTTAGCACCTAGTGCCTTTTTTGGTTCTCAAAAAGTAGAAGGAGCTTTTGATTGGTTTGAGCACAAGAATGAAAGGTATTGATTACGGCACGAGCATTATTGAGAGAGAGAAAAGGGAAGGGACGAGCCATCCCATTCAAGAGCAAGATAGATACAAAAAGGAATATTGCAACATCAAGAATCCCATTGGAGAGCCAGAGAGCAATGTCAAGTCAAGAATAATATTCCTCTCTCTCTCTCTCTCTCTCTCTCTCTCTCTCTCTCTCTCTCTCTCTCTCTCTCTCTCTCTCTCTCGAATGGGATGCCTCGTATCCACCGTAATTAATCCCTTCCTTTTTTTCTCTCTCTCAAGTCAAAATCAATGGGCTATCGACAAAAATAAAATAAAATCAATGGGCCGTAATTGTGCCTGTCCATGAAATGGCATTAGAGCAAGAACATTTTTCAATCTATATGTCAATAAGCATGTTGATATTCAACTTGTTTTATTATCCACGTGTCGGGACGAGAATATTTTGTGCTGTAATCATTAGAGGGACTTTTTGGTTTTTTTATTAGAATAAATAAAAGGACCTTCTAATATGCTTTTTCTTATACATTAGGAAAATGATGCATGCATGGATGTTGAGGGACCGTAAAAGCCCGGACATACATGTGCTCGTAACACGGTAGGCCCTCACAATATTTTCAATTCGAGCTCACTTTTTCCTTTATTTATTGTAATAAATAATTTCGAAAGATAATATAATATAATTTCTTTTTCTTTCATTTGGATGAAAGATGTTGTCCACAAGCAGCAATGATCACTCAGCAGTTAGCACCTAGTGCCTTTTTTGGTTCTCAAAAAGTAGAAAGAGCTTTTGACCGGTTTGAGCACAAGAACGAAAGGTATTCATTACGGTACGAGCATTATTGAGAGAGAGAAAAGGGAAGGGACGAGCCATCCCATTCAAGAGCAAGAGAGATACAAAAAAGAATGTTGCAACGTCAAGAATCCCATTCAAGAACGAGAGAGCAATGTCAAGTCAAGGAGTGCATGCATAGCAACGCGTCATATGTTGACGTTGCAAGCACATATGTACTGTTTACCAATCACGAACCGACACGTGTCACTGACGTGGAATTAAATAAAAAATAACAAAATCTTAAACTTTTTCTTTCTCTCTCTCTCTTCTTCGTCCTCTCTTCAGGCGGAGGTCATAAAAAAAGATTCGAGATTTCATTTATCCTACTTGATAGCAGCAAACAAATTAACAGGAAGACATTCTATATACTCGCTAAATGATGAATGTAGACATCTCAATTTTTGCCTCCTATTGTCACGAATCATTATGTTGACCAAGAGTCAATCAAGATTTGATCAAAGATGTACAAGACTCAAAGTACATTTCAAACCTCAAAAATTGGTTTTGCTAGGCAAAACTAGTCTTTTGATGCTCATATTTCCACCCGAATTCGACATTCAATTTGGATCTCTTGAAATCGATCGCTCGTTTTTCATGGTGATCAAAAAAATTTCTAATTTTCCGATTTCGATTGCCGAAACTAGGAATCATAAGTATTCCAACGTTGCAAAAACTCTAGTTGAATGTGGGAATAATCATTGGTCCAATTTCTCTCATTCCTTTTGATGCCTGAAAATAAGGTCCCAAAGCCCAAAACCATACTTAGATGTCTTGAAATCAAACAAAACTTTACAACTTTACAAGTTATGGTTAGACCTGTTAAACTGATGGGTCGAGTCGGGTTTGGGTCGGGTCATAAATGGTCCGACCCAAATTGACCCATTAATTTGTTTATGATTCATTTATTTGTAATGTAAACATTCCGACCCATACCGACCCGACCCGACCCGACCCATACCCAACCCCTATCCAACCTGACCCATATTACTAAAACACTTCTATATTTAACTCAATATAAGGAAACTTGTTTTTTATGATTTTTTTTTAAATTATACTACTAAAACATTTTCATACAATACAAAGCTAGTAAACAATTTTTATAATTTTTTTTTAAAATTGAGGTTCTGTTTGTTTTGTGAAAAATGCAACATTTTTATATAATATTTTCCATGAAGTCATTTTCCAAGAAAATAAAAAAATTTCCGGTGTTTGGCTGAAATCTGAAAACAAACTAGAAAATATTTTCCAACGTTTGGTATATAAAATCTGATTTGATTTTACTTCATGCAATCATTTTAATGATTTCAATATTTTTTTATCTTTTTTAAAATCAAATTTTTAATTATTTTCCTTTTTCTTTTTCTTTTTTTCTTTTATTTTTTTCTCTTTCTCTTTTCAGCCGGTGGCCGGCCACAGCGACGGCCAGCGACCGGCCACAGGCAAGGACGACCTTGCCGAAATCGGGCGAGCTCGGCCTCACCGACCTCGGGCGAGCTCTAGGTCGCCAGATCCGGCGAGGCCGAGCTTGCTCGATTCCAGCAAGCCTGAGGCCTCGCCGGCCTCCTGCGAGGTCATCCTTGCCTGTGGCCGATGGCCGGTCGTTGGCCGTCGCCGTGGCCTGCCACCGGCTGAAAAGAGAAAGAGAAAAAAATAAAAATAATTTCGATTTTTAAAAAAAAGGGAGAAAGTGTGTTTGGGCTTAATGGATGGATTGGAAATGGTTCCACACTCAACCCATTAAGACCCATTTATGATAGGCTTAAAACTTTATGACCCATTTAAGATGGCTCTTCAAAGTTGTATTGATCCATTTATAACCTATTTATTTTTTTAATGGGTCATATATGGGTTTTAAGACCCATTTAACAGGTCTAGTTGTGGTAGATCGTGATTATAAAAAAAAAAAGTCATCGAAATATTGTACGATTTATAAACTCGAGCTTTAGGCTCCAGTATGACGTTGTCTCTAAATTATATGTTTTTCTTTGTTCAAACACTTTTGTTTAAAAAGTATAATGTGGTCGTTAAGTTGCCGTTAAATGTTGACATGGTTCTAATGTGACATCCCATGTGTCTTTCACTTTTTTTTTAAAAATAAAACAGAACGCATGTATTTAGAATAAGAAAAAAAATTTAAAAAAAGGGCACTGTCGCGACCTACCCCCGCCAAAGATCGGGTTTAGGCCAAGAGGTATTTGTCTATGATGTGAACAACGATTGATTCATTTGAAAGACAAACCAAATGGTTCATTAATCCAAAGATCGAGGCACTCCCAGGCCTCATACCTCATGCGACGAGAATTTTTTTTTAAAAAAAAAAACATTTGATTGGAGTCGCCACTAGCCATGATCAAGGGTTGGCTAAAAACCCTGATCGAGACGCGGGAGTGTCGTCTCGATACCCGCGAAAATCAGATATTCTAAAATTCGGGGACTTGATTACACTAGCAATTTAACTAGTGCCCTTTCGGTACCTAAACTTGAATGCTCGCAAACTAACGTACCGGACAGCTTATAGAAAAAGCTACGATTCCGCCTAACCATTCTAAAAATAGAAAACATCAATCAATATATTAAAAGTGTGCAACAAGATAATCATAAAGAAAATAAACAACCAGCGACCTAGCATCGTCTCTAGAAAGAAAAAAGGCAATCAAAAACCCTAAAGTAAAGCCCTAATGGCTTATCTGAATTTTGGGAATTTTTTAGAGGATTTTTCTCATTTTTCATTCATTTTTTTTTGAGTTTTTAACCTAAAATCTAGTGAAATTAAGCCCAAAACTGATTTCTGAACATTTCCTAATTTTCTGATTTTTTTGGAAATTTTCCGAATTTTTCTGAATTTTTTAATTTTTTTGAATTTTTTAATATTTTTTAATATTTTTATTTAATTAATTCTTTTTGGGATTTTTAAACATTTTCGAATTTTTTTGGAATTTTTAATTTTTTTAAAATTTTTTAAAATTTTTTTTGAATTTTGAAAATTTTGAAAATTTTTATTAATAAAATAAAGATTCCGGACCGGGTCCCCTGACCCGATCCGCCCGACCCGGGTTTCCGACCCGCCCGAACTTTCAAAATTTGATTTTTTTTTATTCTATTTTTTCTTTTCTTTTCTTTTTCCTTTCTTTTTTGTTTCTTTTTCTTTTCTTATTATTCTATTACTCTTCGTCCCCTTCATGCCCATGCACGTGATCCTCTCTGCCCAGAAGACTTTCCCCTGCTTCTTGCTATTCTTCACCGAATCTTCTTCTTCTTCAACTGAGACCACGCCGTGGCCACCCACCACCGGCCGTCGGCTCGGGCCGCCAGCGCTGACGGCAGACGTCGGCCTTATGCCGTCATAGCCGGCAAGACATTCCGGGGACCATTCCGACGACCCCAAAAACACACCCCTTCGCCGGCGACCAAAACTTACTTTCCGATTGTTCTACTTTCGGCCCTCGTCGCAAACGTTTAACCCAGACAAAACGAGCACAAACAAACAGAGAATGAGGATAAACGACTAACGATTGCGGCCTTGAACCGCTGGCTGCTCCGGTTTAAGGAACGGCATCCCGACGACGGAAAACACATGCGGTCGACTCGGACATCGTTAACACGCCGCCAAAATCACATGAAAGGCAACCAAAATCGGGGTCAGTAATGGCGTTAGTACAAACCACGCACACAACAAAGTTTTAGAAATTGGTTTCACAAGAACAGAATCGAAAGTTCATTCGGGCATTTCATCGAGCATGTGGGGTGTGACTAAAAAAGAGATACAGATTCCCTTTTGACATGGTTTGGGGCACCAACTCAGCATATAACATCTAAAAGAATGTCTTTGAGTGTCAAACGAGCATTATCCTCCATGGACGGAGCCCGACAAGCACTGAACAGATTCGGTATGTCTGGTGTCCGAGAGGCAGGGGAAGAAGGGGGAAAACAGGGGAGGACAAGGATGAAAACCCACCTGGTTCGGGTCTGTCCGAGACGAAGCGCGGCGGCTGGACAGCTCGATGAAGGTTCGGGTGGCACTCCGGTGAGCGGGTAAGACTCGAGACTCTCCGATTTCGCTCTACTCTCTCGCTCGGCCTCCTCTTTCTCCTCTCTAACTCCCTCTGTTCTTGACTCGCCAACACCAAACGCGGTGGCCGGGGCGATGGACGTCCGGTGACGGAGGCTAGCTCACTGGGAGGGGGAAGAGATTTGCCGGCGACCCTCCTGAGGAGGAACCGGAGCGCTCTCCTCTTAGACCCCTCCCTTTCTCTCTTCTCAAACTCTCTCCGATGATGCCTCTTCTTCCCTCTTTCCGACCCCCTCTCTTCTGTTCTCCCTGTTCTTAACCCCTACCGAGAGGCAGCAGAAGAGCTTTTCCCTATTTTGTCTCTTCTGGTTAGCTTTACCTTTTTTTTTTCTTCATGAAAACAGGCCGAGCCCTTTCTTCTGTGTCCTTTCGTCCTTTTTGCTTCTTTTGTGAAAGTGTGGGTAGAGTGCCCAGAGGGAGAGGGAAGAGGTCACGTTTTTGTCTTTCTCTCTTTTCTTTTTTCCTTTTTTTAATAATTTTTATAATGATGATTTCCTTTTTCATAAAATAAAAATAAAATAAAATAAAAGGAAAATATGTTTAGCTAAATTCTACTAATGCAAATGCGCCTAACATCCATATGCCATGTAATTTAATGAAGATATTTTTGTTTAGGGGTTAAAAATCAATCCCTAATTTTCGTGCAATTAAATCCTAAATGATTGAACAAAATTTAGGTGTCAACAGACACCAATGCCACTTGTAGGGCCAATGAACATAGTTTGGTGGTGTCTAGGGTTGTAGCGGCCGACCAAAGTCTCGTGACAACAATGACTGCTAGCTTGGATTAAACTCTAGCGAGGCAAGGCCGAGTTCGCTAGACTCCGCTTTAGGGCTTAAAAATAATCACCAATTCTCTCTCCAAAGTTGTCTCCCCCTCTATTTTTTATGGGTGTGCTTCTCTTAGAGGCAACAACGGCCGTGCCATGATCAATCGGAGGCCGACGAGAACTCGATGGCCATCACAAGGGCTTGGGTGGAGTCGTCACTGCCACCACTCCCCCTCGTTCTTCTCTGTCTTTCTCTCTTAGGATTTTTGGGATCTTATTAATTTTCTAATATTTTAATCCAATCGAGACAAATTAATTTAGTTAATGCTAACATGACAGCATATATCAGCATTTTCATTAGCATTTTTAATAGAATTAAGGACTAAGTTAAAAGAAAAACATAGCAAAAAAAAATATTAAACAAATTAAAAATTCACAAGATTAACAGTTTCATTATTCGACAAAAATAAAATAAACTAATTGGGGTCGAAAACCATGTAAAAGAACCAAAGAAAAAAAGGGAACTACGGCTCCGTTCGTTTCGCGAAAAATGTTACGTTTCTGAAAAATGGCACAATTTTCTAGTGTTCGGCTGAAATCTGAAAAAGTCTTGGAAAATATTTTCCGTCGTTTGGTATGGAAAATCTAATTTGATTTTCCTCCATGCACTACTTTTAATAATTTTTATTTTTAAAAATTTCTTTTTTCTTTTCTTTCTTTGTTTTTTTCCCTTCTTCTTCAGCCGGTCGCCGACCACGACGACCGGACACTGGCGAGCTCGAGCCTCGCTGAATCTAGCGAGCTAGGCAAGGCCAGAGGTCGGCAAACCTCTAGCGACCTCAGGCGAGGCAGCCTTGTGCCTCGCCAGATCTAGCGGGGCTCAAGCTCGCTTGTGGCCGGTCACTGGCCACCGCCATGGCCGATGACCGGCCAAGGAAGAAGAAAAAGGAAAATGAAAAAAAAAATTAATTAATTAAAAACTCGCTTTTTTTAATAAAAAATAAAAATAAAATGTGTTTGGTGAAAGAAAGTGAGGAGAAAGAAGATATGGAAAATGATTTTCTCTTTTAAAAAAGGAAATCATTTTTGCTTCTTTTGAAAGTATTTTTTCCATTGAGGGAAAATGTTTTCCTTAAGTAGATTATTTGTCATGAACCGAACACCTAAAAACATTTTCCTGAAAGTTGTTTTTGTAAAATGGACGGAGCCTTGCATCAAAACAGTTATGATTCGAGTGTGTATACCGTGATGGTATGATTTTTACGAAACGATAATTGTAAGATTGCTATTTAGTAAGAAAATTATCTTAAGATAATTATAGAAAAGTATAAAAAATCATTGAATTACTTTCTCAGTGATAAAAAGAAAATGCAACAATATTGTCGATCACATTCTTTTTGTGGAAAAAATTAACTTATCAACCTTTCTATGGCTAATAAATTAGTAATTAACCAAAATAGATAGATATGAATCTCAATTAATCAACATAAGATGAAAGCCTCTCCGCCGTCTCCTCCACCAGCTCCACCGCCAGCACTACCACCACATATAAACCATCCGCTTGCTCCTCCACCGACCCCACCACCCTTGCTGAACCCACCTCCATAGCCTCCGCTAGCCCCACCTCCTTTCCTAAAGCCACTTCTGAACCCTCCTCCCTTTGTACCATCCTCTTCGATGCTCACAGTTTCTTCTGAACTCACTTTGACCGGTTCCTCTCACTTCTTCTCCTCTAATTAGTTTTTCTCGGCCTCCATTGTTCCTCGTTCTCTCTCTTGATCGATTCTGGACAAGGCGCCCACCAAATGTTTGTTAAAACGCCTGTTTGTGCTTCTCCTCACCTTCTGTCTAGATTTTGCTTACCGAAAGAGGCGTGACAGGGCTTGGCTAGTCGTTGATTTTGGAGCATCTGTGATCCTCTAGATGTCTCCCATGGTCCAAGTTTTCGAAACAATCAACCCGGACCCTTCCCCTCGTACACATCGTTGAGATCCTCCGCTTCGAAATACTTCAGATCAACGATTATGGTTCAGACTCGGGAGTGGGAAATCTATTGCTCCAAAACCAGCATCATTAATGAACTTGAAGAACAAGGCCATTTCAGATGAAAAAAAAAATCAGCCTCTTCAACTCGAAGGTTGAAAAGGCAGCTGCTGAGAACATGATATCTACCAATCCCGGAAACAATAGTATCGCTGCCGTTCATAACTGTGGCTTTCATTCTGAAATTGGTATAATAACTCAAATTGTGAAATTGGAATTGACATTGGGGATGTTAGTTGTGTTGGGTTAAATTTCAAATGTGTTGTGGAAACTGAATATGGGGATACCATTTGTGCTGATGTTGATGTTGGGGGTAGGAACAATATGACAGGGAAACTTTGTAATATTACCAAACCCTCTCTTTATCCCCTTCCCTCCTCCAATATTAGCTCTACTCCTACTGGCCCAGGCTTGTCTTGGAAAAGCATTATCATGGAAAAGCTTGACGAGACCGCAAAACTAGATTTCCTCCCGCCTAGTCGGGACGGAAATAAGCTTGTAGTTGCTCCCCCACTTGAGGCTATTGAAGATGGAAAGACTCATTTTGAGCATTGTCCTGTTGGGTACTTTCTGTTGACACCTGATTTTTAGCCTATTTTTGAATTTTTTCAAAAATCACAAAATTAGGGTTAGGAACCTTGGCCAAGCTTAGGAACCTATTTCTAAACCAAAAATAAAATTTTTAGAATTTTCTTGAATTTTTTCTTAATTTCTTTTAGCCAAAATAATAGAGAAAATCAAGAAAAATAGCAAATGAAATCCAAAAATTCCATAAAAATAGTCATTAGTCTTCTTTTAAATCCAATTTCATCAATACAGTGTCAATTTTGATAAATTTCAATTGGGAATGTTCTTTCACCAAAATTGGGTAAAATCAAGCCCAAATTGAATAAAAAATTCAATTGAGTCATTTCTAGTCATTTTTAGGCCATAGTGTCTTCACAACAAATGATTCTGGAACCTTGAATTGCATATTGGTCGGTCCAATTGCATAATTTATCAAAGAAATCGAAAAGCTCCAAAATTCAATTGAAAATTAGGAATTTTAAGCTCAAATTTGGGATCATGATCAATTTGAAATTGTCGAACCTTGAAACCATCATTTCTAGGGTTAATCAGTCATGGGTAATTCAATTTTGTCATCAATTTTTCCCAATCAGGTCATCTAGATATCGAATTGAACAGAACGCTAGTGACACGAATTTTAAAATTTGGGAATTTTTGGTTTAATTGTGACAAAAATTAGGGCAAATCTCATGTTTTGATGCTAAATGTGCCAAGGAATTCAATTTTGGGGTTAAATTTGAAAAATTGGGTCAAAATCAGGCTTAATTTGCAATTTTAGAGCAACCTGGGTCGGTCTCCTTCTTCGCCCGACTCGCCTAAAATGTTCTAAACCCAGAAAAAATATCTTCGGACCCGCCACTTTACCGACTTAATCCGGTCAAATGAGCACGTGTTAAACTCCGATTCAAGCTGGAGAATCTCCAGCTAGCGTCGGAGATTCGATCTAACTAATTTGAAGTCAGTGATAACCAACTTTGGGCAGGAAATCAAGCTACAAAAAAGGGAGAAAAACATTATCAAAGGCAGAGAAGGTGTTCGTGAAAATTCCGGAGAGAAGAGAGGGAGAGAAAGAGAGAGAAAGAGTGTGAAATGTAGAGAGAGAAAGAGGAGTATAGATCCCCAGATCGAGTGATCGGCGCCGGCGAATCGATCATCCAAGGAGGATCTCCTCCTCGAGTGACCAGTGAAAATCTGATCACAAAGCTCTGAAGATCGACTCCGGCCGGCGTGTCCAGAGCTTCCCTGGTGAAGCTAAAGCTATTGTCTTGAAGTCCAAGTTTCGAAGAACAGCTCCACAAGCGCCGATTAGCCCCAAAACATCATTTCAATCCCCAACGAAGTAGATAAAGTTGGATACCTTTCACTATTTTTTCAGAATTCCAGAAAAACGAGTTTGACTTTAAAATGAATGTTCATGCAATTTTCTTTGAAATTTTAAGTTTCTGGAACTTTAGAATACGTTTCTGATCATATTCGTGTTGATTGATTGCATTTTGGGCTATGGAATCAACAAAATCGAGTCGGTCAACCATTGAAACCTCCTCGTCAGAACTCGAAGACCTTCGCCAGAGCGTCCTTGTGGCCATATTCAAGTTAGCTTTCTTTGACTTTGTTTGATGCTCTGAAAGTTGTCTTGATCGGCGTAGACGGCTAGGGCGATCAGTGAGGTTGATTTAATGATTGGAAAAGTTAGACAAGTTATCTTCACAAGTTAGGGTTTTCAAGCTTGAAGTTCATCGGTCGTCGGCGCTCAGATGATGAACTAGTTAGGCAAGATTGATAGAGGATAACACAGACTATACACTAAACCAATCAAAATGGTAGAAAAGTCGCTGGAAGCTCGTCGGAGCTTGGTTCAAAC